GTTGGTTTTAGAAAAAATTAAATGTTATCAACACTTTCGATATATATTTTTAAAAAGTTTTTTTTGGAAAGTTAATCTTGTTGAAATAAAAAGCCAACATATTATTACAAAATAAATTTAAAATATTGTTTTTCTACAGTCCCTTCATTCAATTTCGAAATGCAAATAAATTGAAACTAATTTATATGAAGCTTGTATTTATAGCTTTTTTTAAAAATTTAAACTTAACACAAATCGTCCTCATTAGTTTTTTTAATATAAGCTTACGTGAAAAAATCAAATTCGAGTCAATTCGAATTAAAATTTTTCATAATTTTTTAAAAATTTTTTCAATTAAAATTACTCATTTTTAAAAACAAAAGCACAACATTTTAGATTTTTTTTTAAATTTTTCGATTTTTCTATACTATACTTTTATTTTATTTTTGACAAATTTCCTTACAAACTAAAGGTATCAATTAGAAATTTCTTTGACATGAATGAAACTATTTCTGCCTTAGTAGCATTAGTGCTTTATGTTTTTGTAAGCTCTTTCTTTTCCATCAGCTAAATATGGTTTAAAATGATAGAATAATAAAAAAATAAAAAAATAATATTTTAAATTCTATAACCTTTAGTTAAGTTTTTAAACATTTTCTTTTAAATTTTTATAATGATTGCAAAATCTTTTATTTTATTTTTTGTTTTTTGAAAGTATGATTACAACGTATTAATGGACCACATGTTTAAGAGGCCTATAACTATTTAGATTGAAATTATGCACTAATTAATTTGATTAAAAATAAAGTACAGAAAAGTACGAGTAAAGTGCACTAAAGTGTAGTAAAGGGTAGTAAAGTTAAGCAAAATGTACTTAAGTATACTAAAGTAAAGTAAAGTAAAGTAAAGTGTGTAAATTGCAGTGATTGTGATACATTGTATAGTAAGTGTACTGAAACATAAGTAAAAATTTATAAAGTTGAGTAAAAAAGTAGTGATTGTAGACATAGTGCAAGGAGTTCTATGGCCTTGGCTTCCGACATGTGACTATTGAGTGTGCAGGTGAGAGTCTCTGTCATTTCGTTTTATTTTTCCATTCGGCATGAGGCATCATGTGTATTACTTTACCCCATCCATTAACAGGTGCTCCAATCATCCTCATCATTCAAATGTAAGCATTAGATCCTCCAATGTCCACATACCAACTCTTAATTCATATTTAATCAAATTTTCTTCAATCTTTTACATTTCAAGCTTAATTGGTGTCCTCATCCAAGCAGTAAGTATTTTAATTTACAGCACATGCATTTCATTTACTGCTCTTTTATTTCCCCAAAAAATATACAGTTCACACTAGGTGTTATCATAGGTAAGCACAGTCTTATCATCAAGAGAAATTTATCAAATACAACAATACTCATAAATTTAATTCCAACAGCAAAGCTTGCAAGACCAAAGAGACGTGCACACAATATTTTATTCTCAAAGAATGCAGTTATATGTCATCGTGATGGCTCAATGTGTCTTATGATACGAATTGGAGACATACAGAAACGATACATTGTGCATGCAAATGTCAAGGCAAGACTGATAAGAAGAATTTACTCGGAGAATGGAGAACTTTTGGAATTTCATCAAGATGACTTGCCAATAAATGTTGATAATTGCGATAATCAACTTATGCTGCTCTGGCCAACACTTGTGTACCACAAAATTGATGCAAAGAGTCCTCTTTGGGAGATGACGGCAGATGATTTACCGAACGAGCAATTTGAAATTCTTGTTATGTTGGAGGGAGGTGCTGAATCAACAGGCTTGCATGCACAGGCTAGAACATCTTATTTACCATGTGAAATTTTATGGGGTCATCGCCAGGGGCGTAGCCAGAAAATTTTTAAGGGGGGGCCCATTTTCGAAAATTAAAAAAAATTGTTATTTTGTATCCTTAAATCTATATTCATTCTTCATAAGTTTAAATATTTAATTCATTATTCTTACATTAAATTTAATTTTTCGTACTGATTTTGACATTTCTTTCATCACTTGCTCTACATTAACTGGTTCTTCTCTATAAATACTTAATAAAACAATTATCAGATTTTCGTAGGGGGGGCCCGGGCCCCCTATGGCCCCCCCCTGGCTACGCCCCTGGTCATCGCTTTCAATCTGTTCTGATGCCGAAACAAAAGAAGTACATTGAGATAAGGAGTTTTTTTATTGTCTTGTAGATGTTTTTTATGGATGTAAGGGTGGAAAACATAGAAGGGTGTTGAGCATGAATATGAATTAGAAGGAGGACAAGAAATGAGAATTTAGTAGATTGAGTTGGAGTCTTAAAGTTAAGTTTTTTGATGGAGATAACTTCTTATTTCAGGTCGATTACAACTTTTTCGACAAGACTTATAAAGCTGAAATTCCAACTTGTGCTGCCAAGGACTTGATCAAAACTATTTGCATATGTGAGCATCCGTCTGAGGAATGTGATTGTGTTGGATCAAAAGGAAAGCTATCAAGCAGCAACTTGAGAAAAATGTTTACGAGCAAATACTGAGGAATATTCAAAGTATTTTAAAATAAAATCTTATTGCACTTGTAGCCGTGCATAACTGAAAATTCTCATTCGTAAATTTTCCCTCGCGAGCTTGTCGTGAAAATTCCATGCGAAAAATACTTTGTGGTTGATGAAAAATTTATGAACATTTCAGAATAGACATGAACAATTGTGAAAGCATGGTGTAAAATACGTTAGGTGTTGTTTTTGATTTTCAGCACAAAAGTCGACGATTGTAATGTTTTGTACATGTGAATCCATGACATATCAACAAATCCTCTATGAAATAATTGAAATACTGATTTCTGGTGGGAATTGAACATACGTCCTTACTTTTAGATATGTTTTCATACTCCAGTTACTCTCTGCTCAGACATTACAATTTGTAAACGTGCCCTTAGTTGGCAAGACAGTCAAAATAAACTTTTGTGAAAGCTCAACTCTATTATGTCAAATGCATGTTGCCAAAAACAGTGTATAGCTTTTAAATGACTGCAATTACTGAGTTGCTTTACTTGTTCAACATTCTTAAACTTAAAACTCATTTTTGAATCAAAATAAATCACACCAAACAACAGCTAATCGTTATTAACTTTATAAACTCAATTTAAAACCAATTCCATCAACTCAATCAAAATCTAGCAAGCATAAATCCTCCGATAAATTGCAAACATTCATCACAAAGAACAACAAACTCAAACAAAGTTCTCATAATTCAAAAACTCACTTAACAAAAAAAAATATAAAAAAGTACAAAAAGCGATTAAACGACAAAAGAAGGAACACAAACAAATAAGTTTTTCTGTCAACATAACGCCAAGGTATTGAAATATCTATTTATTTTCAACAATTGCTCCTTTCAAAAGCATATCAATAACACATTTCTGAATTGTTTGTGTGCGAATATGCAGCACAATTTATTATTAGATAAATTTCCTTTCTCATAACCTGATGCTTCTCTCATTTCGATTATGAAAAATTGAGTCTTTCTTATTTCTCAATATTTCCTCATTTTCTTCTCTTGAAAAGTTTTTAAGAATTGAGTTTTTATTTCTCAGGTTTGGTGAGGGTGAAATTTGATGTATTTGTTGGATTTGGAGATAAGGAAGGTGCAGTTTTATAGGTTTTGAAGGAGGTGTCTTTGGGGTGTGAACAGAGTTATTAATTAAATTAAGCATTTAAAACTAATTTTTGGGAAAATATTTTACTTGGGTTTTTATGAAAAAATCACAACAATTCCCCCCCCCCTTAAATTTTTCCATACAAAAAAAAAATTGTCCCCCCCCCCCCTTTTCAAATTCCTGGCTACGCCCCTATTTGAGAATATTTGATGTCAACTATGTCTTTAGAAGTATGATTGACCTCTTAAAACATACTGACCAGCTACAAGTTTTTCATATTTTAAGAGTTTTTTTAAACAGGTGACACAGCATCGAATTAAGAACTATATGATGGGCAAAGCTTAAAATCTCTGTATCTAAACTGAACTAAGTTTATAAGACTGACTTCATGTTGAGCTTTATGTTTAATTTGTTACCCTGATTGATGATGAGGCTTACAGATCAAGTAATAAAATGATGGGCCTTAGTCATTGTGCTGGTTTCTAAAACTATTCAGAGCATTTAAAGAACTACCAGAGGGATTTAAAGAAATCTCAGGTCTGTTCTGGTTAGCAGTAAATTCAGTCTTGTCAGGCAAACACCTGAAGATAGACCGGATGGCACTTAGAGCCATAGTTTCTGTCGTTTAACACCATTCGAAGTCAGACTTCCTATTTTGTTGGTATACTTAGACATAATGAATCAATAATGGACAAAATAATATGTAAAAATCTGAAAATTCAGGAAAAACAGACATTCTCTAAATGACCCATTAACATTCATGCTGAGTAATTATTTAAAATTCAATTATTCACGCCCCTCTGACCCCCCACGTAAATAAACTATTTTATGGTTTCAAAATATTAATTAAAAACTACCGAAAATTTCCATAAAACAAATAAAAATCATGTACACACAACAACAGCACCAACAGTCACGTCTCTCTGACCAGATGTTAACAAAAAAACTGCGCTACCTCTCACTCATATTCAGCTATTCTGTAAAATTTACAAACAAATGAGATTTTTTTTTTCTTCCTTTATTATTAAATTCAACATCGCAGAAAATTTCATGTGTGTGCTCATACATTCATATTAATAAGCAGCACGTATATTGAAAAATAAAATATATACAGAATAGACTATGAAGAGGCAGCATTCAGCATCACCACATGTGAAAAAAAAAAATTGAGAAAAATTAAGAAAATTTTATTTTGAATTCTTTCAGTGCTTTACGTGAGATGATCACGCGAAAATCGATTAAACGTTCCTAAAAAGATATTTTATTTTTTGTGTAACAAAAAAAAAGTGAGAGAAAAAAAACTGAAAAAAAAAGTTCATTAAGTGAACATAAAAAAGGAAAAAAAATTAAATTTTAGACAAAAATTCTTTTAATTAAGTAGAGTAGAATAATGGAAGAATGGAAAAGACCTCATCAGTTACTACACGACGTGAAGACAAAGTCAATTGAGAAGACACTTTTACCTCTTATTAAGCAAGTAAGTTTCCCGAGTATTTTTTTTTTTCTTGTGTAAAAAATTTTCATTTTCTTCTGTAAATCGATCATCATAGAATTTCTATTTTTAAGATGATCAGATTCTATTGATGAATGTATTCATCTAAATCATCTACGATATTGCGAAGCTACAGTTCATTCATCATAAGATACAAAAAAAAATAATATTTTCTCTTTCATTTTGCAATCTAATTTTATCAAGAAAATGTTGTTTGGGAAAGTTATTGGAGAAAATTCGGGAATGAGGCGCTGTTCTGGTTTGTTGAAGATATGGTTTATAGTGAGTGGCAGGGGATTGGTATGTCAAATTTCATCAAAATAAGTGGAGTGTAGTGAGCATAATGCAAACTTCTGATATCTCAGACATTATTCTTTGTAATGATGAAACAAGATTAGTTCTTGGCAGGAATAAAACTTACATTCTCATTCCTGATTCCAATATTTAAGTATCTTGTCATGCTAGCCATTTGGTAACAAAGTTAAACCTTTAAAACACTATGATGATCAAAAAATTCTGATTCCGAAAGTGTAAAAACCTATAAAACCTTCAAAACTTTAAATTATATGTTCAAAATAGAGTCCGTTGTGACACAATCGTAGCAGACAGCTTTAATTTAGCACGTGTGGATGTATTTAATCTTATAAATGTTTTTATTTTGTCAATTTATCAACGCTAATGTTTTGGAAAGTTTTTATTTTCGATCATGATCAAAATGAGTTTTAGTTTTGTGATTAAAATGCTGTGATTCTGATGTTTGCTCATGAATCTAAGTTAATTTGATTTTGGTTAAAGACTAGGTTGCACTGAGTAAAACTGATTCAATGCTGAAATAACTGTCAATCTTTGGTTTTGTATGGAAAAAATTCCTCTCAGTTGACTCTAAACATTGCCCACAATTAGTGGAAAACGGATGTACTTTTGTCAAAAATCACATCTGTGATAGGTTTTAAAAAATTTGCAATGTTAAAATCAATCACAATCATCGTTTAGGTCGTTCACTTACTAGGGTTTAGGATTTTGTAGCATTTCAAACAAAGAAAAAAAATGTCATACAAATTTTGTAATTAGAGGGGGAGGGGGCTGAAAAAGTTATTTTTTGCGTAAAGTAATAAATGGACGAGTCCATTTTAAATGTAGTTAATATCGTCAAAAAAAGAAGCATTAAACCGCATTTAAACAAAAAGAAAACGTCGATCGAATCCCGAACAAATCACAATTTTTAATGAATTTCTTTGTTAAGAATCGAACTTAAGTCCTCAAGAGAGGATATCAAACTTTTAAGTGTGTTGCTATGACACCTTAATTCAAATTTTCTATAATTTGGCAGAATTTCATAAATACGAAAGATAAAGCGAATAAAAAAATGAGCATTTCCTTTAGAATAAAATCGTAATTCCAAAGTCAAAGTGGCCAAAAATTCAAACTATTGTGATTCTAGACTTAACAAAAAGCAGTCAAATATTAAATTTTTATTACACTTGACAGACAAAAGAAGATCTTCTTAATCTTCAACAAATAGGTCATTAAGTTCTTCTTCAATCTGATCTTATTCTCAAAGCACAAAGACCTCACAACTCGATCTCATTTATCAAGCACCTGAAACAACTCTCATTTCTGCAGACATCACACAAAAAAATATGCTAAAAATGTATAATTTTTTCCGTCAAAAAAAACACAATATTACAAAAAAATAATAAAAGAAAATCGAGAGGGTACTTTTCTTTGACGTAGCACATGATGATGACATGAATATAAGTGTACATACGAAACGAAAATTTCACGTTTTCACAACTGAGACGATTGAATTCTTTTTTTTGCTTTCCTTCTCTTCTCGTTTGCTTCATCAATTACGGCTCTAAAAATAACATAAAGCATCATAAAAAAGACATGACTTTTTTTCGCTCAGTTTACTATACACACAACTTTTTGGGTATCTTTAGACTAAAGAGAAGTAAAAATTTATTGAGAGACGGGAGGAAAAATTATTACATGCTGTAAAAATAATTAGAGATGGCAATTTTGATACAAAAATATATCCATTAAAATGTTCAAATTGTAAACAATTTTGTCAATTAAGAAATGAAACCCGAGCTGCACAGTGCTTCGAATTTCATTTTCAGATGTCAGAGGGGTGACATGATCAAGTCACGGTGTTGTCAGGGAATAGTTTCTCAGGTTTCTAGTCATATTCTTTTGCTTGACCAGATTTTTAAGCACACTTAAGTCATATCATAGTCATACTCGACTTTAGGGAGGCTAGGGTAAACCTTACTCATATTCCAACCCAAAAGGCACAATACAAAAATTTGTATAGAACATATTAACTCGGTGTGGCTTCCAAGTGGCTGATAAAAATGTTTTGTGTTATCTGGATACTCCCTAGAGTACCCTTGGTCTATATTTTCTAGTAAATCCTAGCTAAAGTATCAAGTATGACTAGGTTATACTCCAAAAACTGACTCATCTTTGTGACTTTTTGTGATTCACACACTTCAACATGATTTCAACCAAGCAACTTCATTGCATTGCTCGGATAAAGGAATTTGTTGTGTCTCTCATGATGAAAAATCAATAAGCTTAATTAAAAATTAATAAAATTGTTTTGATTTAAACACGAAAAATGGATCGCGTGCTACATGAACTGAATTATAGGTATCTTAATAGTATTTTTATGCTGGTGCTTTTCGGGAAATCCTTTTTATTAAGCACACATTTTTCATAAAATAAGGAATGAAATTTTTTTGTACTGAGAATGTTGAATGGAATATTCTTGGAAATTTCGCTGCTTTATATTTATGATTCAATAAAATATGAAATAGGAATATTTAATGACTAAGCCATTAAAACATTATATCCATTAAATATTTAGATTGACTGAGATTGACGATTCATTCACAAAAAGAAATCAATCAAATTATATCCGAATTTCCCCTCCATTTCAAATCATTTTAATGCATTTTAATGACAAATAAATGATTTGAGGGTCAGTTGAGTCTGAATAGCTTTCAAAATTTGACTTAAGGATCTACCCCGAGCCATACTTGATTTACCATGGAATATTCTAAACCTTAATATGCATTTTTAAATGATAACAGTCTAGATTGAGCTTGAATCTAGTGAATGATGAACTAAATGACATGAAGCTACTGTTATAGCCATCGAAGTCTCTATGCGAATCTCAAGTCAGTCAATTTCGTAACTAAAAGGACCCCAGATTGTGCCATTCTAGTCAAAACAAGATTTGAATCAAAAATCCAGTTCCATTAGCAATTACGTCTCAGAAATGTCACATCAATCTCATAAAACCATTCTCTTATTCATCAATATTCCTCAAAAAAAAAAAAATAATCTTTAAATATGCAGGATCAACTGGTGATTAAAATAGCGTTTTTAAAGCTTCATGTTCGACTGAGAATTTATGTCAGTTTTAATTCATTTTACATTCTCATAAATTCCCCCATTTCAGTTTCTATTTTTATCTAAAACAATCAAACAGATTGTCAATCGAATGTCAAAAATATCACGTAATCAAGCTATAAAAGTTTTAAGGCAATTTTCAGGAATTCGTCCTTGAAAATTTCTTTTGGGAATCATTTATAATTTAATAAAAGAAAAGGTAATGTTGATGTTTTGGGATAGAACTCTACAAAATTTTACGCCTACAAATGTTCATCCTTGAGCCTCCTCATTACATAGTTCAATTTTGATGAGCAAAAGGTTACGGTAACTTTGAGGAAAATGCCACAGAAAAATTATATTCATCCCACACCAATTGTTGTGGTTTCCTTTACTCAAGACAAACTTTATGCTACTCGGGTTAAAAGGAGACGAACGAGGTCATTTTATTGAATTAAAAGGAAATGAATGGCTGAACAATTGCTTCAAGGTCTCAAAAATACAAGTATAATGATGCAAACACGATGACAATGTTTGTGATGGGGGTTGTACATAAATGATGTCATTATGTTGGGTGATAGGTGTCTTAAGTTTCTGATTCCAAGAATATAAAGGCGCAGGGTAGACTTGGAGTAAGATTTGGTTTGTCTGACCTTCCTGACGCATAGCCCCTTTTATTGTTACCTTTAGAAATATTAAACATCATTTACAAACAAACCCTACAAAAAATTCAACAAACTTGCTGCAAAATGCACGAAAAATACAGTCTGCATTATTTTACGTGACTATAAAGCTTGCATGCTCTATCCGGCATACCTAAATTTTGATTCCTTTTGTTTTTTCAACGAAAAAAGTGCTCGCCTATAAATTCCAAACATTTTATCTTTTTTGGGAAGTTTAAAAAGGTCATTGAGAAAAGTTATTCAATTAGGTATATTGTTTTAAAGGCTACAGACATTCATACCCTTAAGGACGAGTCAACAATGTAACTACACTTGTTGGTTATGACTAGTCCAAAATAAACTTTATGCTTTAACTTGTCATTATGTGCCTCTTTTCTTTTGTGTGAATAAATTTAATGGCAGTCATAAGTCCAATTTAGGTCTACGCAATTAAGTTAAGCATTTACAAAGATTTTTTGTGACCTTATCTTAAAGTTCATTGCTAATTTTTTTGATGACAAACAAAATTGCTTTGTCATTCAGCATAAATTTTAATCTTCATTTTTTTTCGTACATCCATTGCGACAAAATATCGACGATAAGTCACAAAAATACTTTTTGATTGACCAATCTGCTTCTGTCTTAATATTCTTATTTTTCTGAAATAACATGACATTTATTGCTGGGAAAAACATCATAATCATTTTCAATGGATAGAGGACATGCTTAATTGCGATTTTTATGGCATTTTATGAGTTTTAGTACTTTGTTGTGTCAATTTTGTGTGTTATGCTGTTTGATCGGACAGCTATGTGGTAAGATAGTGTTTTTTGGATAGGAACGGTGCTATCAGAGGGGTGATTAGGATAAAGTGAGTTAAGGGATTGTTCAACAATAATGTTCAGCACTTTTTAAGACAAAAAG